ACACACACACACACACACACACACACACACACACACACACACACAAATCTGTGTATATGTGTGTGTGTGTAGAAAATTTTTGTTGCTACAAGCATTATTTGCCTCCTGGTCTCCGGTTCCTTCCTTCTTTCTCTGCCTTTCTTCAAAATGTTCCTTTATAAAATGTGGAAACTCTTGAAATGATGGAAACAATGTTAAGGGAGGGGAACAACAGGGTGGGAAAGTGATTGGTCTGATTTTATGCTGTGTGCAGGTTATGCAGTTAGTTGCTGGTGGAGGCTTGGGCAAAGTTTTGGAAAGGGTGTGTGATTAGTCTGCATGGAGAGTCCTTGAGGGGGTGGGTGGGAGACGCCTTCAACCTTCATAACAACCAGTTTTTCCTTGAAAATTGGTGTCAGGAATTTTCATAATGGAGTGAGGTTGCTTATTTTGCACCGTATTGACGCCTTTCCTCATTTCATTAGCAAACACCTGAGTTTTCCTTTCTCTTGCAAACAGTGAGCAGATCTCTTTATGTGTGTCGATCTTGGAGCGATTCCTGCAAGTCATGGATTCCTTGAATGTAATCCAAAACTTTGGGGAGGAACTTCAGAAGGGATTGTTCCACCCGGATGATTCGGTCAAAATCCTAACCATCTCCCAAGTACGTGTTACAGTTCAGCTTTGTAATCTTCTCAAGGAGGTTAAGGATGAGATGCTCATCCTGCCATTCTGCGCTTCTGTTTTCATGCACATGCTGCAGGTGTTTGAAACAACACTAGAGGTGATACAGGTGGTCCTCGACTTATGACCACAATTAAGCCCAAAATAGTTGTTGCTAATTGAGACATTTGTTAACTGAATTTTGCTCCATTTTACAACCTTTCTTGCCTCAGTTAAGTGAACCATTTGCAGTTATGTTAGCGACACGGTTGTTGAGTGAATCTGGCTTCCCCATGTACTCTGTGTATCAGAAGGTCGCAAAAGGGGATTGCAGGACCCCGTCATAAATATGAGTCAGCTGCCAAGCGTCTGAATTTTGATCATGTGAGCATGGGGATATTGCAACGGTCATAAGTCTAAAAAACTGTCATAACTCACTTTTTTCAGTGCCTCTGTAACTAAACGGTCACTCAATGAACATGTTGTAAGTCAAGGAGTACCTGTACACTGTACATTAACTTCACCTGTTTAATGTTTTAATTGCAGTTATCGCCTTAAAATTTTTGGCTAGTAAGTGTAATGCAAATAATGCTTCAAGCAATTATTTTTAAACTTTCAAGGCAGTATAGAAAAAATAGCAGCAAGGACAGCTAAGAATGAGACTTAAAAGACCAAAAAGTAAGAGTGGAAGAAGAATGGAAGTTGGAAACTGTCCAATGACTATAAATGATGTTGCCTCCCTAGGTTGGAAGAGTTGTTGAAGACCCTGTTGCTGTCAGAGAAATCCTTAACACTCCTGAGTTACTGAGGCAGATTGTCTATTGCATTGCTGCCGAGAAAATAGCCGTGTCAAAAGAGGTCCGTCCTTGTGATCTGATCTTTGTGGGTGGGGGGGGAAGGAAAGGCCATCTAAGCCATTGAAGTTTATCAATCTCATAAATTATTTATAAATCTTGTCTGTTGGCCCAGTAGAGTGGGGGGGGGTGGTGGCTTCGAAACGGAGCTCTCGCCTCGCAATCAGGAAGCTGTGAATTCGATCCTGGGTAGAGGCAGATATTTCCCTCTCTGGACACACTGAGGATATATCTGCTGAAATTAACTCTGCACTGGCGACAGGAAGGGCATCTGGCCAGTTAATACTCAGCTGGATTCAGTTGCCTAGACTCCACCCTGCAAGGGATTATGGGGTCATCCAAAGGGGATGATCTATTGGGCCAGTCACGCGCTCTCAGCCATGGGAAGAAGGCAATGGCAAACCACTTCCAAAATCTTGCCAAGAACACTGCAGGGACTTACTGAGGATTAAACACAGACTCAAAGGCACGCTTCCCTCCTCAAAAAAAAAAAACCTAAATTATGGGTAGCCTTGGGCTCTGGAGGACTGCATTCCCTATTTCTGTTTTTGCAACTCAAGTGTAGATCTTTCAAGAACCCGCTGTGGGATTCCCCCTGCTGAATCTCTTAGGGGGGGAAAATGGATATATTCAATTATGTACCAGCTTAGACCCGCTCAGAACTGTAGTCAAAACTATTTCTTGATTATTTCTAACACCAAATGTGTGCCTTTCTCTGTGTTTAGGCCTTGGACTCCCTTCTTTGTCAAGGGTCAATTAAAAGAGTTGTTTGCTACAAGATGGGCAGTGAACAAATTCAATAAATAATAATAATAATAATAAACCCCCAATTTGCTGGACTACATGACCCCATTGTACGAAGGCTTTCTTCCTTCTGGAAAATATTTTTCTGAGAATGGCTATGTCTTTCATCTTAACCCTTTCATCTTAAACCTGTACTCAAACTTGGCAAGTATTGTACCTTTTGCTAATTCAGCCTCTCCTCACCCCAACATACGCATAGGTCTGCTTCTCCTGTTCTCATCAACAACTTTTGTTTCTTAGGCCATCAAATCTTTGTCCAGGATAGCACAATCACCTGAAGGCTTGGAAGTTTTGCTGGCGGGGAATTTGCTGATCGATTTGAAAAATGTCATGGCGAAGAGCGACATCATACGTTACCGCGTGTATGAGGCAAGAGCTATGGGATGTGGTTGGGGGTCTTTTGAGCCTAGTCCTCCTTGGAGTTCGTTTTTCTTGGAAGATGTTTCTCTTCTCATCTGACTAAAGAACCGAAGAAGCTTCTTGGATGAGAAAGGAAAGTCTTCAGGGAAAAACAAAGTCTTTTTGAAAAAGCACCTTTGGGATAAGGGGAGAGGATACATATGGAAAAAACGGTAGTTATGAATGTGGAGCTGGAGACTAGCATGAAATGTCTTTAAATTTACTTGGTCTTCTAAAGGCTACATGAGAATTAACATGAATCAAAAGCAGCAATCTCTGGGAGGGAATAGGATTTTTTTGATTTTAAAGAGAAAGAAGTAGAGCATACCTATTGGTGGCTTAACATATCTACGTTTGCTATGTTTAATTAAATAACCGCCTGCAAATCTGATTTCCAAATGGGGGAGGCGTGGCTGCCCATTGCAGCAGAAACACTTTTAAAGAGACGTGGCTCAGATTCCTGTCTTTTTGTGCGTTTCTGTTAGCTAGTGGTCAACATTTCCTCGACGTCGGTGGACTCCCTGAACTACTGCGTGAACAGCGGCTTAATATCAGAAATGATTGGGGAACTGACGGGAAACGATGTACTTGTCAGGTGCGTCATGGGATGGGCCTCAGCATGAACGGGAGGCAGGCAGGTCTTGGGGAATCCTTGCCATCTCTTTGCTGCTTGTAAATGCACGGCGGCACCTTAGTTTTGCTTGCAACCCCTTGACCAGTCTCTGGACCGATTCATAGTTTGCTTCCAGCGCTGCAAAGCACAGTGAAGCGGTCTATAAGTCTGAGGGCTGTGGCTACACACTGGGGTTTGGCTGCAGGTGGAGCTTCCTGGGGCATCAGGAGGCCCATTCTCATCTTTCTGAATTGGCCCACGTGTGTGTTTTAAAACAGAGCAACCTGTATAGAGATGGTGACCTCGCTGGCCCACACTCAACATGGACGGCAATATCTCGCCCGGCAAGGCATCATCGACAAGATTTCCAATATAATCATTGGTGCCGATTCAGATCCTTTCTCCGGTTTCTACCTGCCAGGTGACTACAGGTGGCCTTCGGGCATCTTGATCTTAGTAGGGTTGACACTGTGTCTGTGTGGCCTGCTGTTCTCCACCCTTGCAGTGCAATTAGTGTACGTGGAGACTCCGTTTGGCCCTGCCAAAGCTGCTTTCTCTCGTGCTCTCTTTCTCCACCCCAGTTTGAATCTTGGGTCAGTTTTGTTTTTTTCTGCATAGGGAAGAGCAGAAACCTGTCCTGAATAGAAGGAGCCTGGATCCTCCTCTTGTAGGATATAACGTATTTTTTGGACTATAAGACACACTTTTTTGTCTCCCAAAAGTGGGTGGAAATGTCTGTCTGTCTTATGGAGCAAATATTGTCGAAGCCCTGCCCACACACCACCCTCCACCCTTTGGAGCTTTTAGGCCTCCAGTGTCCCATTTTTAGCCTGTTTTCCTGGAGCGGCGGAGGCCGAAAACGGGCTGAAAATAGGGCCAAAAACGGGCCAGGAAAAGGGCCAGAAATGAGGTGCGTGGAGGCCAAAAACCATTTCCTCTCCCCCCCCCCCCATGTTTTCCTCCTTTAAATCTAGGTGCGTCTTATAGTCCAAAAAATACGGTAAGTTGCTTCCTGTCTTTATGAGGTTGAAACCTGTCAGCCTTGGAGCGGCGGCGCTTTCGCTCCTGCCCACTTCCAGCCCAGCTTGGTCTTCGCTGTGTCCTCCTAAGCAGGAAGAGGGCAACGAGCGGGACCACCACGGCCGAAGGGGCCGTCACCTCGCTCCGTTGACACAGGGCTACCTTGGCAGGTTTTGTCAGGTTTTTCGGCAACCTGGCGATGGTGGACAGCCCTCAGCAGATCTGCGAAGAGTACCCTGCCTTCGTGGAGAAGGTCTTCAGCATGGCCGAAGGCCAAGACCCCACCTTGTTCGGCGTGGCGGTGGACACGATCGCAATCTTGGGCTCCAACGTGGAGGGCAAGCTGGTGCTCCAGAAGGCAGGTCCGTCCAGTGTGCGCCTGTAAAAGGGCAACTCCGGCTACAGGGCTGGAGGGGGGAGTTGCTCTATGCGCCTGGGCCAAAACAGGGTTTGCTTTGGTTTTCAGGGAGCCGCTTCCACCGTGGGCTAAACAGAATCGGGCACCAAACAAAGAATGCCCCCACGGAGATGCGAATCCGGTGTCTGGATGCCATTTCATCCCTTTTGTTCTTGCCGGTAAGTTGCAGTAGGCAATTCGCTTGCCTCTCCCACCACCTCCGCGGCCTCCCGCTCTCTTCCCCCCCCCCACACACACACACCTGGTGGCAGACACTTAATCTGCTCCGCCTGGGGCTTCTGACTTCCTGCTGGCTTTCCCAATGACTTCAGCGGTTGGAAGCCAGCAGGAAGCCGCGAGGACCCACTCACTTAACAACCCACGATCCTCCCCTTAATGACAGGAATTGAGATGGCCGGGATTGCTGTCGCTAAGCAATGTGGTCATATGATACCCTCGACTTAACAATAGTTCATTTAGCGACGGCACTGAAAAAAGTGACTTGTGACTGTTTTTTTCACAGTTTACAACCTTGGCAGCATCCCCATGGTCACATGGCCAAAATTCAGCCTCTTGGCCAGGGACTCGCATTTATGACAGTTGCAGAGTCATGCGATCCCCTTTTGCGACCTCCTGACAAGGCCCAGGGGGAAGCCAGATTGACTTAACATCCGGATTGCTAACTGAACACTTAAGATAATTCTGAAACTTAACCTTCTGCGCTCGCGAAGCATCGAATCCCAGTGAAACCTCCCGGCCCCCAGAAGTCTATTCCGCCATTTCAGAGTTGGATGCTTTGTTTGAAACTTTCAGGGGGGGAAAGGATCGGTCAGAGGCCGATGCAAACTCACCCGCTACTCTCTTGTGTACAGCCTGAGCAGCAAACGGAAGATCTTCTCCGGATGACCGAATCTTGGTTCTCCTCTCTGTCTAACCAGCCCTTGGAACTCTTCAGAAGCATCAGCACTCAGCCCTTCCCCGATCTCCACTGCGGAGCCTTGAGGGTTTTCACGGTAAGGTTCTTCTGGCATGAAATGCTCCTGCAGTTGTCTACACAGTGCCCTTCTCTCTAGGGCAGGTTTCCCCCAGCCTGGCATTCTTTGGGTAAATTTGGGGTGGCATCGGCCGTCCGTCCAGGATAATCAGGATTACATTCCGGAACAGAACAGAAAACTGCTCTAAGACAGCCTTTCCTCTGCAGATGAATTGCATTTTTGTTTTAATTTAATTACCTTCCAATTAAATATTTTGAGGGGGCTTTAAGAGAGGCGAAAGTATAACGTGAGCCACAGTGGTTAGAGTTGCAGGACTGCCGGCTGCCTGCAATTTGGCAGATCGAATCCCACCAGGCTCCAGGTTGACTCAGCCTTCCCTCCTTCCGAGGTTCATAAAATGAGGACCCAGGTTGTTGAGGGCAAGAGGCTGACTCTTGTCAACCGCTTAGGGAGGGCTGTAAAAGCATTGTGAAGCGGTATACAAGTCTTAGGTGCTATTGCGATGATCGTGTATCAAAGTTTTCAGCCGTGCCGGCAAGCACCCGAAGGCTGGGTAGACACAACTGTTAGAACTTCGAATCTGGATTATAACAGTAGGTCTGTCGTGACTTAGAACGGTTCCTAAGAAGGGACCAGCCCCAAGGTGAGGATTATGTGTCGTTTTTTCAGCTTTTACATCGGGTTAAATATCTTTGACTCTACAACATTTTTTAAATTTAAAGGAATTCGGGGGTCAAAACCACTTAACAAAATCTACCTTGTCTCGTAGGCCATTGCGAATCAACCTTGGGCTCAGCAGGAGATGTTGGACAGTCCCGGCTTTGTGGAATACATGGTGGACAGATCAGTGGAACCAGATAAAGCTTCTAAGGAGGCCAAGTACGAACTTGTCAAGGCCTTGGTTAACTCCAAGACGGCTGCAGAAATTTTTGGCAATCAGCATTACTTGAGACTGAGGGCTTATATGCGCGAGGGGCCCTATTACGTCAAGGCCATCTCAACGACTGCCGTAGAAGGAGCTGAGTAACTTCGGATGATGTAATTTTAAGCTAATTCCAGGGTTAACTAAACGTCCTGGATTTCTGGAAGGAAGGGCTGGCCTTGGGAGGGTGGGGGGGCAAAGAAAGTGTGGATAACATTAACTTGGTATGAGTTTCTTATTTTTCTGACGTTGAAATGCCAGGAAGTTGGTTTGAAATACGGAGATTTTCTAGGTATTTTCCAGATGGAAAACACAGGCTCTACCATTTCACGCTACTTAAAATCCAAGAGTGTAATTGTTACCAGGAAAGGAGACTCTAAAATACATAAATATATAAAACCCATTTTGCCCAGGATAATGTTGTAAGATCCTGGGAGACACATATATTCACCTTCATTTGTGAAAAAGATATTTTTATAATGGTTGATCACACTGGTGGTTTTACCATGTGGGTTTAAGATTTGTGCAGAGTGACTGATTTTCCATCACATCTGCAGTGTTGTTTTTCTGACGTTCCAATGGCCAGGTCACAAAAAATTTCTCCACACAACTTTACGTAGGGAACAAATACATGGATTTAATCCAGGTTCTGAAAAGCAAGTAGATGGAAGAGTAAAGAATATATCTTACATAAAAGGCTAAACAAATCACAATTTTACAAGCCCCCTTCTCCTAGCCTTCATCTGTCCATCTTCCAGCTCTTAAAGTCAGCCCCAGAAAAGTATAAATTTATGCTGCCTCACTTCTCGGAGACTGTTTCCTCCAAACTAAAAGAGCTTTTCCAGTGCCTAAAAGAGTTAATAAATACATATACACACAAGGTATTTTTCCTTGATTCAGTTCGGACTTAGCACTGTCACTTTTCCTACATACCCGTCTCTAAACAGGGAACAACTTGAAATAGTTTGCATCAAAAAACAATTCAACATGAAGGACCAGACTCCAATATGCACAATCCAGCTCAGCTTTGTAGGTGTGAAATGCATTGGTGGCTTAATACTTGATTAATTTGGGAAGCAACGAAGTAACAACACAATAGATGAATCTGTGGTTGTAGTAATATTTGAGTAGTTTTCCCTGCCTGCAAAGATTTGTTTTTTTTCTTTCTTGCGTTCTGCTTTGAATTCGATTGTGAAATACAGTTTTGAACTGAAGAAAGTGTAAACGTTGGTATTTGCAATCCGATTTTCAACCCCGTTTTGCTCAAACTACTTTGTTGTATATGTTGGCTCCGAAAAGCTGCTTATTGCGACTTCCTTTCGTTGTGCTTATAAACATCATGTAGAATTAGCCTTTTATAAAAGGGAAAAAAATTAAATACGTACAAAGTCTTCAACTTCTTGTCCAAATGCTGGGCTGCTTCTTACATCAACGGCTTAAAATACAGGTAGTCCTCGCCTTGGGGCCATAATTTTGCAACCTTCTGACAGGAAAGTCAATGGGGAAACCAGATCCGCTTAACAACCGCATCACTAATTGAAGAACTGCCGTGATTCGCTTAGCAAAGGCGGCGAGAAACACCGTAAAATGGGGCAAAACCCACTTGAGAAATTTCTCACTTTAGCAGCATAAATCTTGGGCTCTATTGCAGTCATAAGTCAAGGACAACCTCTACATGCAGAGCAACAGACTAATGATACATCGTCACAAGACCCATGCGTAAGAGTGGGAGTAAGCCCATGAGAAAGCCAAAACGGAGGTACTATTATTTTGATTCTTCTAATCTGCAAAAGACAGACCCTCTTTCTGAATGGCGTTGACACTGGAATTCTTCAACCCATCCAGATATGTCATGATTTTGCAGGACACCAGCCCATAATAGGTTTCCAGTAACGTGCAATCTTCATCGCTTTCCATCTCCTCCCATTCTTGGAGAAGCTGGCTGGTCTCTGACACAGTCGAAGTGAAAATATATTTATAGCAGCATCGGTTGTACCAGATACGCCTTTCCCCAGAAAACCGGGAGCTGTGGATGGGCACCACGCCAGCTGCCCTTGCACAGACGCCCACGAAAATGCCAGGGGGCAGGGAAGGAGAGACTTCCGCAGAGGTTACGTAGATCTTCCGAGCAACATCCTGCGAGATGACCAAGGCCGTGGCACTGCAGTAGTCAGGATAGTACTGTCCAGGATATTTTCTTAGGGTGGTGAAACTGCCGTTGTGGAATTCTTTGTTGGGAGCGTTTGGATGAATCACCCTCCCAAGGTAGATGTCTTCGGGGTGAGTTCTTAAGTTGAGCAAATACTCAGCCAAGGTTTGGAGGTTGGCAAACATGTCCTCGTCTACTTTGAGAATGAACCTGGCCTCAGGGCAATACGTTACGGTCCACTCTATGGCCTTCTTGATCTTCAGTGTCTGATTCTCAGGCGTATCGAGAAAGATTCCTTGGATTAGATCCTGTTGCTGGTCTGATTCCTTGATGACCTCCACTTGAGCGGTAGCTAAAGGTGGCTTGCCCAACACAAACAAGGCCAGAGTGGTGTAACCTGGGTTGCGGGTCACGTTGGCCCACGTTTTCCGAATTGCATTGCGCCTGGATAGGTTTTGGGGGCTACTGAAGATGAGAACCAAGAGGAAGATCTCTCGCTTGGAGCAGGCTTCTGGGTTGCTGATCACAAAGGCCTTGGAGATGTTGGTTTTCATGGAGGACATGTCCAGTATGCGGGCTCTTTCCCGAGCTCCGAGGACTTTGGTATCCATGTAAGTGGTGGGAATGGCTTGCAAGAAATACTCCTCCACAAGATCGGCTCCGAAGAGCAAAATGTGGAAAAGGGCCACGTTGAAGAGCATAAAACACCACTGGTGGGTTCGGAGCTTACAGAAAACCAGCTGTTGAAATGGGGAGAAATAAAAATTAGTGCTCGTTTCCTTCAACATTTGTGCTTTTCAGTTCTTGCTGTGGAGTCAGAAATATTGACGAGAGAAGAGAAAAAAGGGGAGGAAAAGAAAAGAGGGAAGAGAAGAAAAAATATTTGTAGCTCAGGGTTGAACTGTGGGCTCCTTAGTGCTTTCTTAGCAGACATTTAGTTACCGAACTAGGTGGCATCCTTGGTTACTTAGCACTGATGATGTTACCTAGTTGGGTAACGAAACGTCTGCAAGAAAACCACCAAGTTCAGAGAGCACCGTGGAGCCCACAATCAGAAACATAATTATTCACGATAACGTGCTTAGATTAAATGTAGATTTGTTTGGCTATGCGCAGTATTTATATAATGCATAGAGAGAAGAGAGACAAGCATGCAGAGACCAGGATATATAAAAGCCGCCTGAATATCAGCAAAATGCACAGCAGGGGGAAAAAAGCATTTGATTTTTAAGTAGGATTTAACTCCTCATTTCAATATTGTCACAAGAGCGTTTGGTGCTCAGGACTCACCTGCATGGTCTTTATGGAAATGCCTCTGGAGTTTTTCGAGGTTGTGTGTTGTGCAGCTTTGGATGCCTGGGGAATGTTTTTGCAATTGGAGTAGCACTTCATGTAGAAAAGCAGGTCGAGTTTCTCTTGTGTCAGTTGCCAAGTTCAGCATTCTTTTTTTATTTTATTTTTCCATCCTCTTTTGAACCTGAGCAAAGCCAGTGTAATTCCAGAAGAGGGTGATTGTGTTACATGTTGGCACAGGATTTTTAATTTCTGAGTGGACCACAAGAGAGGCTGCAGAGCTACACACTTGAACGAAGGGGGAGTGTGTGTGAGAGAGAGAGAGGGCAGGGGAGGTCCACTTAAAAAGCTGGAGAGCTTAGTTTTGCAAGATCGGTCCCGAGGAGAAGATCGTGGTTTCTGTGAACGAAAACTATCTCTATCTATCTATCTATCTATCTATCTATCTATCTATCTATCTATCTATCTATCTATCTATCTATCTATCTATCTAATAGAATACAGTAAAGTACAATAAAAATAAGGATAGAATATAAAATAGAATAGAATTAGAATAAGAATATAAAGTAGAATAAGACTAGAATAAGAATTAGAATAGAAAGTAGAATAGAATTAGAATAAGATTAGAAAATAAAATAGAGATTAGAGAATAAGAATAGAATAGAATATGAAGAATAGAAGAATTATTTACAGATCAAGTATGATTGGACACACAAGGAATTCGTCTTCAGTGCATAAGCTCTCGGTGTACATAAAAGGTATAAGTGATAAATCATGATCATAATCATCATAAAATACACTTTTATATATACATAAAAACACCACACATATATAGGATTCAATGTATTGTTCTATTATAAACAACACATTATTCCACTACAAATAAACCCTGTTTATTTATAAAGCCTGCGGGGACCAAGACGGCCGCATTCCTGGCTCAGCACAGGGCGATCCATTGCCTGGCCAAGCATGCCAGCTTCGCCCGGCATGCGGGAGAGATCTCTTTCCACAGGTGCAGAGCGCGGCCTGGCTCACGCAGACCCCGCGGCTGCCCCACAGCTGCTCGTGCGCGTCTTTGACGGTTTCCATTCGCTTGGGGGGAGAGGGGGCTCGGCTGGAGCCAGGCTCAGAGGCACCGAGCCTGCAAGGCGTGCAGAGGGGCGGACGTGACCTGGATACTTTTTAAAACTTGTTAAGTAACCGAGTTCCTTTGTATTTTAATTTGACTTCCTTTTCTCTCTTTTCAAATCACGTTCGGGGCTCATTACAGACTGGAATATAGGGATAGCTTTGTAACATTCTTCAATTGAAAAGATAAACTGGCTGGACATAAGAAAGAAAAAATAAGATAAGAAAAAGTGACAATGCTGGGTCTGAACTGAATCAAGGAAGAAATTCTCTCTCTCTCTCTCTCTCTCTCTCTCTCTCTCTCTCTCTCTCTCTCTCTCTCTCTCCCTCTCCCTCTCCCTCTCCATGTCTGTCTGTCTATCTCTATCTCTATTTATCTCTCTATCTCCACCCATCCATCCCTCCATTTACTTATCAGGTAAGAAAAAGTGTGTTAGTACCAATTAGGGTCTGGTTTATCTCTTTCATGACCTCTAATCAACCTTTCACCTTACAATTTACGCCCCTGCTGAACGCAGACCTCACTTTAATGAATATTGGGGGATATTGGGGGATGCAAATATGTAACATGTTTGAACACATGCAAGATTCAGCGTAACAGAGCTGGAAGGGACCGTGTAGGTCCTTGTTCCCCTTGCAAGCCCTGGAGGAAAGGAGGGAAAAGAAACCCAAGCTTCATACTCTGTATCAAGGCTGAATTGTAAAAGAATAACACAAACACAGAACAGATACAGATTTTCAATGGCAGAAGATACATTTCTGATCGGGTGCATTTCAATGTGATTTTCTAGAAGCAAACTTCTAAAATTGTAACTAAATAGCTCAATTCACTAAACCAGATTTGCAGTGGAATATTGAAAATTAAGATAACATTTATTACAAGCCCAAAGCTCTAAAAGAAATAAAGGAAGGAAACTGACGTTTTCACAAAGGTTCTCCTAAATTTTGGAGTACAGGCAGTCCTCGACTTATGACCACAATTTAGCCCAAACTTTCTGCTGCTAAGCAAGACAGTTCTTAAGTGAATTTTGCCCCATTTTATGACCTTTCTTGCTGCAGTTGTTATGAATGCAACGGGTAAGTCAGTAACCCAAACATCCGACTTCTGATCATGTGACCGCAGGGATGCTGTAACCATGTGAAAAATAAGTCCTAAGTCACCTTTTTTGGTGCCGTTGCAACTTTGAACGGTCACTAAAAGAACCTTTGTAAGTCGAGGACTACCTTTATAAGCCTCAGGGACAAGTGGAAAGGCGGAAGGAAAGCGAAGGAGAGGGTGACCAGCAGGAAAGGGGGTGGACTCTATAAGAGTCCAGGTCACAGTGGCTGAAGGACCAGGTTTAAGGGCAGAAATTCTGGAGAAATTCTGTCTTTGTAATCATTAAGAATCAATAAATAGATAGGCTAGCCTGAAGAAAAAAACCCAACATGGTTACTAGGGATCAAGGAGAACTTGATGGTGCATCATCATCATCATCATCATCAGGTGCACCTAAATTTGTTCCTGGGAGAAGCTGCAAATAGTCTCCGTCGACTAAAAGGGCTCAAGAAAATTACGTTCCCCAGATGCCCTTTAAACTCGGTGCAACCATGTCTAACCCACCTCTACTTAACTCAAGCCTACATTTAGTCTAACCAAGGGGAATATCTGTAGCTCAGATCCTTGGTACTCTCTGAGCTTGCTTGTTTTCTTGCAGACATTTCATTACCCTACTAGGTAACGTCATCAGTGTTAAAGAGAGGAGGGAAGGATTGTGGAGTTGCTAGCACTGATAACATTACCTAGTTTGGGTAATAAAATGTCTGCAAGAAAACAAGCAAGCTCCGAGAGCACCAAGGAGCCCTCCTATATTTAACCTCCTCCTCTTTTCTCCTTTCTTTCCTTCCCCCTTCCTTTCCTTTCCATCCTTCCTTCCACAGATGTCTTCAGGAGGTCCAGAAAGTCAACCAGAATCCTGTGATAGCTCTAATCTTTTTAACATCCATTGGAACAGAAGCAGTGGGGTATTGGAGCTCATCCATCCATCCATCTTGAGCTTAACTGCCTCAATGATGTCACGAATTGCACTGTGAATTCAAGCGTCCAGATGATCTCAAGAGTGCCTCATGAGCCCGGCTTCCCAGTTCTGAGCTGGAATAACATCCCTTCAGCGTCTGGTTACACAGACTCTCATCTCTTCGGAGAAGAACAATGGACTCAAGAGAATCCCACACGTCTCCTCCCTCCCTTGTGGCTTGTGACTCACTGAAGAGGTGCCTGCGGTTTCTATTTCTGGCTCTGGAGTTTGCATATAAGCCTGGGACTTTACATTTGCATCCTGATTGAAGGGCTCAAGCCTCTCCAGAGCATCCCTAAGACGACAGGATGGGCGTCTACGAAGAAAGAGGGTAAGCAAACTCACTTTGCACGCTGGAAAAACTGATCTGCCCCTTTCCCAAAGTTTCTTTTCAAAAGGCAACCTTGGTTTTTCTTTGAAAACATTTCACTTCTCACCCAAGAAGCTTCTTCGGTTCCTTTCTTGGCTTGGAGACCCGTTCATTCCTAGTCCTCATTTTCATGGGTGGGTTGTTTTTTTTTTTAAGTATGGGCAATGGGATGTGTATCTAAATAACTACTGTTTGTGGGTGTTGTTTTTCTTAGCTAAGCCTACAATTGGCGTTTCCCCTGAAGATGGTGGATTTGGAGGGACGGTTTACGAAGGTTTCCTTTTAGCTGCTGCTGTGACCCCTTCCCTCTCCCAAGTCCAGCTCATAGAGCAACGGAATTTCTTTTAGCATCACAACAATCCTGAGAAGTAGGCAGCCCATGTAAAACAGCCCATGGGAAGTTGTTTTAGTGAGATGGCTGAAAAACCGGCGATTTATGCCTTCCTTTGCAGAATTTCTGTTTAAGATAGTGAATGTCTTAAATATATATATAAAAAAAGTATACAAAGTACTGCTGGTGGTGACAGGCATGTGCCATTCCCGAGCCACCTTCCAGGGAAGATAGGCAGCGTACAAATTTAATAAATAAATAAAAGGCGTCTTTTGCCTGGGAACATTTGCCAGCTTTCAAGAACCTTTTTGACTTCTTGGTCTAACCCACAGCCCCGGAGCCTCCCATCTAACCAGCTCTAATCCTGGTTTGCTTCCCTACCCAACAACAAGGGCCTTCAAACTTAGCAAGTTTAAGACTTGTGGACTTCAACTCCTAGGATGCCTGAGCTAACATGACTGGAGGAGGAGGAATTCTGGGAATAAAAGTCCACAAGTCTTAAACTTGCCAAGTTTGCCCAACAATGTTAGCCAGGTGCTGCCCTCTGCCAAGATTTTTAAAAATGTGGGTTTTTTTTATATATGGTGAGGCTGAGTGGCAAAATCCTATTAAAAGGCTGCTCAGATATTGTTCCCTGGAGCTTAGCAATGCCCAACTCTGCTGCTGTTCTCCCTTCGTAGAGAAGTTCCCCATCAAGGCAGATGGGATCAGACGGCCCTTCCAAGAAAGGACTAAAATTAGGAAAGCGGGGACCCACAAGCTCCCCTTCCTTTGGGCATGATCAAAACTCCTTTTAGATCTCTTTAAAATAGTTCTCTGCTTGTTGTTCCCTCTTGAGTCAAAGAATCTGGGGAAGGAGGTGTGGAATCGAGCATCCACAGAATTTCCTTCCTTCTGACACCAGGTTCCCTTTGCAGGGGCAAAATTTACATCTCAGAACATAATAGTTCACTTTCCTTTGGAAGATTTCTTAGAGAAGGACAATAATCACCATTTTTATAACGTTAATGATGGTTCAATCTTGGGTTACTGCAGGGAGCAAATCAAACCAAACCAGAAGCTGGTTAGTTGGAGAACCAAGCCAACTTCGTTCAACAGGGGACGTCCCTTAGAGATTCTTTATGCAAGTAAGTATATTGGCTTTTTCTGTATTTCTCTGTGGGAGGAGCTGACTATGTTCTCTTTTCGTGGGTGATGGGTGGAGAAGAAGACCATCCAGGAGCATTTAGAACAAGGTTTTGATATATATTTTTTTGTTTACAAAAGACTAAACCTTTGAAGCATTTATTGTTCATACTTCATCCAAAAAGCTTGCAGAATAATAATAATAATAATAACCACCTATAAAATGACAGGAAATCAATGGAAAAAGGTCAGGTGAGACAGGGAAATCAAAAAGAATAAGGTAAAGGTAAAGGTTCCCCTCCTTGCACATCCGTGCTAGTCGTTTCCGGCTCTAGGGGCCAGTGCTCATCTCCATTACAAAGCCAAAGAAGAGCCAGCGCTGTCCGAAGACGTCTCCGTGGTCGTGTGGCCGGCAGGACTAAACGCCTTTCAAAGGCGCACAGAGGAACAGCTGTTCCCTTCCCACCAAAGGGGTCCCTATTTTCATACTTGCATTTTTACGTGCTTTCGACCTGCTCAGTTGGCAGAAGCTGCTGGGACAAGGAACGGGAGCTCACTCCGTGATGCAGCGCCTTAGCCACTGAGCCACCCCGTCCCCTTCATCATAACAACATCATAAGGCAGCAGCAATTCTTCCTGCTGTAAAAGCATCACAGCACTGAGGGATCAATCGAGTGCCTGTTGGAACGAAAGGGCTCAGAGGCCAAGCCTAAATTCACTGCTTTCATTCACAGTTGGGGGAGTCAGCCCTACGGGCCTCCCTGGTGGGGTGGAGCGTTACAACCCCCTGGATCATGAGTGGCAAATCCTGGGCTCGGTCTCGAGGCAGCGGAGTGGCCTTGGGGTGGCTTCCCTTGATGGCTCCATCTATGCAGCAGGCGGCCACGATGGGCTTGTGTGCCTCAATAGCGTTGAGAGGTAAGCGGGTGTGTTGACGGAAGATCATCTACGGATGGTCGATGGCTGCATTCGTCCACTCTTTTTCTAGCCGTTCTCACCCTTTTCTAAAATCTTTGGGGTTTTATGTTGCTCTGTGTTTGTTGGGAGTCATTCTAGTTGGCGGCATCCAATTAAATAAATAAATCCTCCCCCAACTTTTCTTGGCTCCTGTTGGGGAACGGTAGACTATGTTGGGGGTTTGCAAATCCTGGAGGACCAACAGGGAGTGTGTCTAATGCGAGGTGCTCTCTTTTTTTCCCTTCAATCCCGGTTACTTTTTTCTAAGTTGCTTTTCTCTCCTACCTTCTCAGTCTGAATTTGACTGGATTTCAGCTCCCTCTTCTCGACTCCCGTTGTGCTCGCAGGTTTTATGGAGCCTGTGGAGGCGCCACTGGTTGAGTCACTTGCCGTTTCCCCAGCTTGTCAAGAAATGTTTTGCACCATTCCTTTTCCTTGTGAGATGACTAAGATGCTGTTGGTATTTTTATGATGTCTCTTACTTACAAGGCCAGTTCATTGCACAATGACGTCTGTTCCTTAAAAAAGAAAAAAAACAAACCATAAGCACTTCTAATGCTCCGGAGCTACGATTCCTTTCCAAACAGGTGCAAAGCACAAGTTCCTCTCACTTTTAGAGGCTCTGTTCTTCATTTTCAAAGCTGGTGGCCGACAGCTCTCTAGCCTGGCTTAAAGGAAAATGACTTTCCATCAACAGGGGCCAGCAGTGATTTTCTTCTTCTGAAGGTCCTGCTGCCATTAAGCCACACAGACAAGGAGCTTGGGAGAAAAATGCCTTCGGAATGAACTCAACGCCTGAAGTTTAAATATTTTCCATCGGTTAGGCAAAGCGGTGAATTGAGGCTGAAGGCACAGAGGCAGAAGTCTCTGTCAGCTGAGATACGTGGCCTTGAGGAATGCCGTTGGCATCCTTGAGGGTCGAGTTCTTAAAATTGGGCAGACAGGGAGGGTGCCTTCCTGGGTTCACTTAACAGATTAACAGAGTTGGAAGGGACCTTGTTGGTCATCCAGTCCAACCCCCACCCACCCACCCAAGCAGGAGATCCTACACTTAATCAAGAATGTGGGAAGAGACTCAGGTAGCTGTTGAAACCCTGGAAAGCAGCTATAGCCACAGCAGAGCAATAGAAAAAGACCCAAACGGGTCAAAAACGGGGGGAAATACCAGCATTTTTTGGAATTGTGCCCTTAAATAGGCAGCTATTTGCATTTTTTTTTCTTTGTGTTTCTAAATGAAAGGTTTCTATTCTTAGGTTTTTTTCTGATGTTATAATTTTTTAGATGTTAACTTTAGCATTTTAATTCTCAAATACCATCTTATATTTTGATGTTGTACGGTGTCCTGCCCAGAGTCCCTCTTTGAGGAAGACGAGCAGTCCAGAAATGTGAAATATAAATATATAGGAGAGAAGCAACCTGGAGCTAAGGAGAAACTTCCTGATATTGAGAATAATGAACCAGCGGAACCCCTTGCCTCCAGAAGTTGTGAATGCTCCAACACTGGGAGTTTCTAAGAAGAGATTGGGCAGCCATCGGTCTGCAATGGGACAGGCCAGGTTTCCTGCCAAGGCAGGGTGGGTGGGGGTTGGACTAGAAGGCCTCCGAGGTCCCTTCCCACTCGGTTCCTGTGTTAATAACATAACATAACAATATAATATAATACAATACGGTACAATACAACGCAACACATGTATACATACCTACACATGGTTTTAAGAGCAATAATAAGAACCAACCCAATCCAAAACAAACTAAAATTCCCGATTGAAATCTGGGATCCTCCCTTCCTGGGTTGTTCTCTTCTCACTGGGACTCCTAGCCGACTTCCTTGGCCCTCCCGCCCTTCCCATGCCAGCCTTCCCCTCAGCAAAGGGCACACAGCTCACAAGGGCTTCTTGATTGACGCCCTTCTTGATTGAGTTCCTTCTCGTTCTCACATCCCTGGGGCCTCTTTTGCACCTTGTCATTCCTGTTAGAGCTGACAGATTACTTCGACGGGTCCCATTACTGCCCTCTCGAGCCCAACTCAACGTCTCCGGCTCATTCGGTAAAGGCTGTTTGTTGGGTGCTGACTTCGCTCGCCTGCCAGCTAAATATGATCTTGGTTCAAAGAGGGGTCGCGTTAATTTTGAGCCCCCGTGTGGCTGCTGGAAGCCACCTTGGGAAATAGGAACTCTTTGTGGAAAGATTAGCCTTGTTCCCCTGCCAAAAACCCACATTAAGAGTTCAGGTAGGCCTCCATTTAAGGCCACAGTGGTTAAGTGAAACATTGGCTGAGCAAGTTCTGCCCCGTTTCTTGCCACGGTTGTTAAGTGAACCACCGCAGTTGATCAGTTAGCAACCCGGTTGTTAAGTGAATCTGGCTTCCCTGTCGACTTTGCTTGTCAGAAGGTGATCGCATGTCCTTGGGACGCAGCAATGGTCATAAGTGTGAAAAAACGGTCATAAGTCCCTTTTTTCAGTGTAACTTTGAACAGTAAGTCAAGGGCTACCTGTAGTTTATGTTTACTCTGCAATTGTGTTGTACAAGTCCTTGCTTTGGGTCAGTTTCCCCTCCTCTTCCTATCATCTTCTTTTAATGACCCCATAATCTCTTGCGGGGGGGGGGAGTCTGGGCTACTGAATGGAGCTGACTGTTTATTGGCCAGATGCCCTTCCTGTCACCAATGCGGAGTTTTGTTCAGCAGATACATTCTCGTTGTGCCAGAGAGAGAAATATCTGCCTTTACCAGGGATTGAATTCGCAGCCTCCTGATTGTGAGGCGAGCGAGAGCTCCACTTCTAGGCCACCACACCACTCTTCCCCTCCTCTTTCTGGGGGGGACAGGGACACTTGCCCTCCTCCCATGCCCAGAACCTGCCCTCCAACTTTCTTCTTCCCTGCTAGGTATGTGCCCGAAATCAATGAGTGGAAGAGAAACGTCGCCCCTCTGAGTGAACCCAAGCAAGATGTAGCTATGGCAGAACTCGGCGGTTACTTATATTGTGCCGGTGGTTTTGATGGGCTGGTTTGCCTCAACACGTTGGAAAGGTAAGCCCAGTTGTGATGCTGATTTGAGGCCGTGCTGTAGTAGCTAATATCTATGGTTGATAGAGTTTTACCTCCCGCAAAGTTAAATAGAAATAGATTGATGTAACATCTAGAGGGAGATGGCGCTGGAGTCAATCATCTTGGGAAGTTTATAGGAGAGAGAGGGGGTGGGGAGGAAGAGAAGGGGAAAGAAGATATGGAGAAAGGGGAGAAGGAGGAGGGTAAAGGATGAATGGAGGAAGAGGAGGAGGAGGAAGATATGGAGAAGAGGAGGAGAAAAAAATACAAACAAGAGAAGTCCAGTCTGTTATCTCAATCCATTCTCTCAAAAACGGCAACTCAGCCCAGGTGGTGAGAAACGTAGGGAGAAGCCATTCCAATTATTCCCTCTTCGGGAACTTCCTTTCAGCTGCAGGGCAGCTACAGTCGTCGGCCATTCTCCTTGCGCTTCCCAAGCCGCTTGGGATGTGCAGGGCAGTCCAGAGCCACGGGAGAGGGAGGCTCTTCCCCAGAGGGCAAAGGGGCAGCAGAACCTGGAATGCCTGGGGGGCAGGAAGGGGGGCAAAGACAGTTCACGGAGGATTTCCATTGTTCATGGCAGGTCGTTGCTTTAGCTTGGCAAGATTCGGTCGGCAGGCAAACAGCAATAAAGGAATTACTCAGAAACAATTCCACCTGTCCTTCTTGGGGCCTGACAATTCTGTATTCAGCACGAAGGTCTCTTACTGAAAATTGTGGGTTTCTTGGTCTTCTTGACTGGCTGCCTAGGACTTGAGGAGCACCGCCTGGAAGAAGCACACTCTACACCTGAACTGCCGTTTTGCAAAATCACCTACTTTCTCACCATGGCTAATTCCTTCCAGATACGACCCTGCTCTGGACAGATGGCAGAAGTTGGCACCTATGATGTGTCGTCGGAAAGGCTTGGGCTTGGCCGTACTGGATGGATGTTTATATGCTGTTGGGGGCTCCGATGGATATTCTCCCTTATGCTCAGGTATATCCTGGCTGCAGGCTAAATTAGCTCTGGTTCTATGTTAGAATAACCAGAATAATCGAATTGGAAGGGACTTTAGAAGTTGTCTAACATTTCAGGGAAATGGTTCGCCAACCTCTTCTTAAAAACCCCCAGTGTTGAAGCACCCACAACTTCTGGAGGCAGATTGTCTCACCAATCCATTGTTCTCACTCGCCCTCATTACTTGAGTTCTCTTTCAAACTTTCCAGTTTCTCTCTCTCTGAGCTGTAGCCGGTGCAGCATCGACTAAGATGTCCTACAGTGCATTTTCTGTCTCAAAAATGACAGGAAATAATTTCCCTGTTTTTTTGTGGGGGTTTTTGGCATTTGTGACAGGAAAGAGAAAGGTGAAAATAATTGGTGGGTTGGGAACCAATTTGTTACATAGTTTTGGAAGTGTTTTATATAGTCTCCTGTATCTTTGCATCTCTCTCTCCCTCCCTCCCTCCCTCCCTCCCCCCCCTCTCTCTCTGTGTTCCCCTCACGCAAACATTAAAAATAGAAAATGATTATATGTATCTGTGACGTTAATTGAAATCCAAGCTTCTGACTGATGGGATTCTGTGGGCCGGGAGTGTTGAAGGGTGGAAAAAATGCTTTCCAAGTTCTGATCCTGCTTGGTTTGCAGGAGCGTGCATGGCTGGGTAATTATTATATTAAATTAATTAACGAAAGAACTTAGATCAGGCAATTAGTTAACAAAAACACGCCTACTCTTGTATTCACAAATGCTGTACAATGTCAAAATAGATAAATGTGATACTTAAAGGATAAGCGGTGATAAAAAGAAGTATGGAAAATGACCTGATAGACAGAATGACTGCAGGATAATTTGACCTTAATATGTTTCAAAAGTAATTTTCCTTGCCTCTTCAACAGAAAAAATATATATCAAATAACTCCAGTTATATAGAAGTCCAGTGTGGCCAAACAGCTGTTTTAGCCAACTGCAGAATGCAAAAGATGATAATTGGGTTCAAGTGGTGAATTGATTCCTCAGTTTGACACATGAATGGGTATCAATTCGAAATAGAAAATTATTGATCCCAGAGACTCCAGACATAGCCAAGAGGAACATATGAGTCAATATGTGACAAACAGCAATTGATCTGGTTTTATTAATTGTGTTATTGAATTCAACTCACAATTATGAAAATTATAGAACAGGAACGTAACAGCTGAGTTAATCCTCTTCCTTCTGAATTTCATCTCCAACATTCAATACCACTTTAGTGTTAATACCACTTTATAATCCCTGGGTAAAACCATACTGCATCCAGTTTTGCTCATCACGATGTAAAAAAGATGTTGAGACTCTAGAAAGAGTGCAGAAAAGAGCCACAAAGATGATCAGGGGATTGGAGGCTGAAACATATGAAGAACGGTTGCAGGAATTTCATTAAACATGTCTAGTTTAAAGAAGAGAAGGACTAGGGGGGCCATGATAGCAGCCTTCCCACATTTGAGCCCCAAAGAAGAGGGAGTCAAGCTATTCTCCAAAGCGCCTGGAGGCAGAACAAGAAGCCCTGGGTGGAAACTAACCAAGGAGGGAAGCAACCTAGAACTAAGGAGGAATTTCCTGACAGAGGGAACAGTTAGCCGCAATTAATGATTTGCCTTCAGAAGCTGTGGGTGTTCCATCCCTGGAGGTTTTTTAAGAAGAGACTGGACAACCATATGTCCAGAAGGGTATAGGCTCTCCTGCTTGAGCAGGGGGTTGGACTAGGAGACCTCTAGGGTCCCTTCCAACTCTGTTATTCATTTAATAGGAGTCTATACCACCCACTTCCTGTTTAAAAGCAGGCTAGTCCTTTCAGGCTCTTTTACACATAACGCTTACCTTTTAGGACACAAAGGGTCCCTTTCTGCTTTGGAAACAATTTAATGTGCTAACTTGGCATCTTTTGACACGATCCAAAGCCAAGGCTCTTTAACCCCCTTCCTCTTTCAGTCGAGCGCTACAATCCCACCGAAGACCGGTGGGCCGCCTGCCCTCCGCTCCGCAGCTGTCGTGAAAACCTGGGCTGCGTTGCGTTGCAAGGCAAGATCTATGCCGTCGGTGGGCAGGATGAACTGACCGAACTCTGCACCGCTGAGCGCTTTGATCCCCTCATCAACCGATGGGCGCCTGTGAGGCCCATGAGGTCCAAGAGGAGCAAGGTAAGGAGAGCCGGGTCCAGGCAGGAAACAGACAGAAAATGGGACGACCGAACACAAAGAGAAATCTATGATTTTTAACTTGTTATTATTATTATCATCATCCTCATCATCTTTTAACGACCCCATAATCCCTTGCGGAGTCTGGGCAACTGAACGGAGCCAGCAGAGTGTTTACTGGCTGGATGCCCTTCCTGTCACCAATGCGGAGTTTTGTTTAGTGGATATATTCTCAACGTGCCCAGAGAGAGAAATATCTGCCTCTACCCAGAATCAAACTCACAGCCTCTTGATTGTGAGGCGAGAGCTGTACCTCTAGACTACCACACCACTCCAACTGTTGCTATTATCCATATTATCAAATTTATTTGCTGTTCATCTCGCAGTTCAAAGCGACTCGGAGCAGTTCTAGTTCGTTTCCCCATTTGGGGACCTTTTTTTTCTTTATGGACTGGGCAGACGAGCAAATTTCCATCCGCCATCTGTCTCCTGGCCCAGAGAAGAGAGGTTAAATCAGGTTGACTTAGAAAACACTTCTGCCCCTTTTCCACTGGTTGGTCTGCAGGTTAGCCTTGCTGCTATCCATGGGCAACTCCTGGCCATCGGGGGCTACGACGGCATCGTTCACGTTTCGACGGTGGAAGCCTTCGATCTGGACCTCAATGCATGGAGGTAGTCTTGGTATCCCTTTTGCGGAGATGCTTCATCAGGGTGGTTGTGTGTGTGTGTGTTTTCTGAATGGCACCTTCTCATTCTGTTATTTTTTGCTCTGTCGCTCATCATCCAGAGCCTGCAGGTTGGGGATGAGTTGGAAAAACTGGGAAACAAATCCAATAGAAAGGGGGAAAGATCATTAATCTCTCGTACAGGTGGTCCTCGGCTTAGAACCACAATCGGGACCAAAATTTATTTATCTAAGCAAGGCAGTTGTGCCAGATTTAATGGCCTTTTTACGACCTACCCATCTAGGTAGCATCTTCAGAGCGATAAGGCAGAAAGAGCAAACCCATTCTCTTCTAAGCACTGATGATGTTCCCTAGCTGGGTAATGAAATGTCTGCAAGAAAACAGCCAAACTCAAACAGCACCAAGGACCCACAAATTCATTGTCATTGTCATAGTCATTCTCCTCCTCCTCCTCCTCTTCCTCTTCCTCTTCCTCCTCTTCCTCCAACCACACTCCCTTCTAGCACTGATGATGTTCCCTAGTTGGTCATGAAACGTCTGCAAGAAAACCACCAAGCTCAGAGAGCACCAAAGACCCCCACAGTTCAACCCTGAGCTACCAATATTTTTGTCTATTGGTACCTATGTGAGTTCTAGATGTCCATCTTCAATGTATGGACCACTGTTATGTGAAACAACACACAACAGGCTTCTGGAAATTAACACTGCCCCTCATTCCTTCCGTTGCAGAAGTTTTGGGAACATGAAGAGGCGTCACCCAGGTGGAGGCGTCACCGTGATCCAAATGGCCCCTGAAGATGCGGAATCCTTGAAGTCTCCTTGGAGCAGATAATCAGAAGATAAACAAGAACTAGTTCTAGATTCCGATTAGGTAGGGTGAGTTCTTTAGCTAGATCTGAGCTGCCGCAGGACGAAGGAGCTGTACATCCATACTTGAAATAAGATTATTTATGTTATTCGTTCACTTTTCTATAGCCGTCCATCTCAGTCCAGCTGATTCTGGACAGTGAACAATTTCACAACCCTTAATACACTAAATTGAAAAATCGAAGTATGGAGATACTATTGCTTGCTCCACTATTTATTTTCAGGGTTGGGATCTCCTTGGATCCTGACCTAATATTTTCACCAGTGCCTTCCCAATTGCACCACCAAAACTCAGAAAAAGAAAAAGCTGGCAAGTAGCATAGGTTGGGCCCTTTGCCCAAGTGGTGACTCTACTTCGCACAAGTAGGATCATGAACTCTCTGAGGAGGCCTTTCGTCAGAGGCACATCTTCAGCTTGCGAGATTGTCCCTCCATCCCCCCTTGGCTCACGTCCTCCTGGAAAGGGCCTGCCAGAAGATGCCTCCCCGCAAGGACCCCTGAAAGGGCGAGAGAAGCTTGAAGCCAGGAGAATAAAGTGTTGACAGATGCCAGTCAACCAAATGGATTTCCACTGTCAGCACATGCCAGAAATACAAACCGGGAGGGAAAAACCCCCAAAACAGATGTATAGAAAAGGGGAGGGAGAGATATGGAATTGTGCCAGGAATCCTTGAGCGAGGAAACCCTTGAGATTCCCTGGAATTTAATCCCAAATAAACGATGTACAGCCACAGCTGCCCTTGGTGACTTGCTCATTTTTACTTCGATGGGTATTTCATTAAGTAATTCCAGAACTGTAAGAAATACCTAATGATTCTCCTGCTTGAGAAGGGGGTTGGGCTAGAGGACCTCCAAGGTCCATTCCAACTCTGTTATTAAGCCATTCGAAAAGACTAGGAAAATAAACCAAGTTACGAGTTTCTGAATGAGCAGTAACTGTTATGTTCCCCTGTCTTCCCCAAATGAGCATTTTGCAGTCCAACAGCATCTATTTTCTTCCCTGGGTAGGTTTGAAAGCTCCTCTCGCTGAGATAATTATTTTAAAAGGGAACACTTTGAAAAAACTTTATGGCTTCTCTGCTGCTGGGGCTGCGTTGATTTATTCTCCTGTTCTTGAGTGTTGACGATTCTGGCCAAGGCTTCAATGCATCAGGCGGAGTCCCATTTATTGGCAAAGCCGGTGAATTTTTCACGATCACCCAAGTGACGGAGGGTGTTTTCAAGGTGAAAAGAAGTGAATAATGTGGCTGTCCTTAATCCCATAACTGTGATTTTTAAAAGCTGCTTTTTCTGAGTGGAGTAAATGTGTAGGAGGCATCGGGGTTGGATGCACATTTGAAGCCGATGTTGAATGAGGTCGTCTGTTTCTCCCCATTATCTCCTTATTCTCTCTCTGTATCTTCGGCTTTCTCGTCTTCCTCTTCTCAACTTTACTGTCAATCAGTCTATCTATGTCTGTCTGTCTGCCTCCCTCTCTTATCAATCCATTCTCCCATCCATCTGCCTGCTTGACTTTTCATCCATTTCTCCATTTTTCCATCCCTCCATCCATCATTATTATCTTTCTGTCTGTGTCTGTCTGTCCATCCATCCATCCATCATTATCTATCTATTCATCATTGTCTGCCTTTCTGTCTGCCTCTCTCTCTCTCTCTCCCCTCCTCTAACCAACTGTCTGTCTGTCTATCCCATCTATCTATCTCTCTATCCCCCATCTATTTGTCTGTCTGTCTGTCTGTCTGTCTGTCTGTCTGTCTGTCTGTCTATCTATCTATCTATCTATCTATCTATCTATCTATCTATCTATCT